GTGGGCAAACATCCACTCTTCAATCCGCTGAAAACCCGGACGATTTGAATAAAAGATAGCTGTGAGGATGATTTAGAGACAAATTAGAAACCGCAAAATTTCGTGACCATCAGTGTTTTTACATTTAAATTCCGAGCAGTTGTAACATTTTCGAATATTTATACGTTAAAGGCAATTTTTTCGAAATCGGTACCCTCTGAAGCAGTACTCACATTCAGGAACTTCTTTGGTTCCCAAAGCAAGCGTTTACCAGCCTTTCAAAGAATTTTCTGAGATGCACTATAGAACACGGGTTTACAATATGTACCAAAGCTTTGGAAAATTTACTCAAAGCGGAATTGATCTTTTTCCCTGAACTGATTTGGAAATTGCAAAGTCATGAGCTTGCGAGAATGTGGAAAGCATCCCAAAAGTTTTCTCCGTTGAAGTAGAGATCTACTCCAACCAGTAAAAAAACCTGTGACACTTTTTGGTTTCTTCGATATCAGCGACTCTTGATATAGAAATGAAGTATATTTTGAACTTGAGGCAAGATGAGCTGCACCTCGATTTTTGCGGGACCTTACCTGCACCACCCCCACAATGGTCGGTCGCCTCATCGTAGCGTGGGGGTGACACTGGGTGTCGAACTGCGATGCACAGCCGAGTGTATACTCTGGTAGGGCCTCCCAAGCTGTGAAGGAGTTCGACGTCCGGTTTCTGCCGGATGCCTTCTCTGACATTCGGTGCGTGCGGCGCGCGCTTGTTAATAGCCAGCAGTGCAGCCCGCGCGCCTAGATTTACGGGCGGGGTCATGTACCGTGCGGCCCGCGTGCAATATATTCTCCCCGTGCCGCCCGCGCGCCTCCAATTCTCACACGCTATAAGCGCAATAGGTACCCGCGTGAGGTACGACGCTATGATTAGAGGTTATCCCTCGACAGCGTTCCGAATGGGTGCTGAATTTGAATTTTGAATTTTTGAATTGAAATTCAAATTTTCGAATTTTTTGAATTCGGATTTTTTTGAATTGTGAAGTAGAGAATGCTCACGGCACGACGAAAGAAGAAAAAGAAGATCTATGAAAGAGACTTATTCTCTAGTAGCTTGCGGACGGAGCGCTTTCGATACCGTGCGGCCCGCGCGCATTCACCGTTCGGCCCTCGTGCATTCACAGTTCGGCCCGCGCGCACGGAGCGTTCGGCCCCCTCGCACTACAAGGCGCCGCACGGGGAGCACGCGCACGGGGAGCACGCGCGCGCCGCACGGACCGAATGTCAGAGCTAAGAACCGGCCACGCCAGATCTCCCGCCGTCTGGCTTCTTCTAGTCGCTAGGCGGTCCCTCCCCGCTCCAAGTCCGGGGTCAGCGATCGCCCCGTGGAAATCAAGAGTAGGCTTAGTAAGCCACCTCTTGTAGGGGAAAATTCATATTACTCCTCCAGTTAGAAGATTAGAAAGAAACCCTGCACATCGTTTCCCGCTTACGGCGCCGGGTGGTAGCAAGAACGATGTCAGGGTACTCAGGGCGCCTTTCGGATTGGACAAAAACGACACGTCTGCTCAGACGACACGCCATGGAGACTGCCTCATGCTCTGCACCTACAACGCCAGGACAGTCTCCACAAACGCCGATCTCCACGCTCTTCTCGACGCTGCAGAGCACATCAACTATCACATCATCGCTCTGCAGGAAACGAAGTCCAGGAAGAAGGACGTGCGACAGATGAGTGATGGGACCCTCATCATTCGTGGTGAAAAGGTTCCATCACGAAACGTGGGAGGCGTCGGCTTTGTCGTCCACCCATCTATCGTCCATCTTGTCGATTCGCACGAGTTCCTATCACCTCGACTAGGCATCCTACGACTACGCCCTCCACGTCAGAAGACCATCAGCATCATCAACTGCTACTCGCCAACATCAGCAGCTGACGACTCAGAACATGATGCTTTCTACGAAGACGTGGAGGAGGTCATCCGCAACGAAAAGTCCTTCTACAAGTATGTTGTGGGCGACTTCAATGCGAAAATCGGGATGCCACTAGAAAAGGAATATAGGATCGGAAAGTTTAGATATGGGCTCCGAAACGAAAACGGCAACCGTCTCGTTGGGCTTCTCTCCGCCGCACGACTCTTCCATGGAAACTCCATCTTCATGAAGAAAGAATATCGCCGGTGGACTTGGGAATTGCCCAAGGGAACGACTCATGCTGAGATCGACCGCATTCTCACCAACCGAAGGTGGAGCTTACTCGATGTCTCTATAGTTCCATCCTTCTGTAGTGGCTCCGATCACCGCCTCCTTCGAGCGAAGATACGACTCAGCCGAAGGCTGGAAAAGAAAGTCTGTCATAATGCAGCGAGAAGGAAGGAAGTCGTTTATGACGGTAACAGGCTGGAAGAGCTCATATCAAGTTGTGACTGGCCCATCGAAGAGAACCCAACGTACGACTACGACCGGCTTCTGAAAGGATTGCGAGCCTGCGGAGAATGCGCCTCAGTGACTTCTGAGAAGAACTTGGAACGGATTTCGAAGACCACCAAGGAATTGCTCGAAAGAAGAAGATTTTTGAGGCAGGATCCGAATGCAACCCATCTCGAGCGACTGATAGCCAACGCCAGTTGCAGAACAGCTTTGCAAGAGGATCTTAGGAAGTACAGGCAAGCCAAGATACTGGAAGCAGCCAAAGAAGACGAAGTCTCAAGAAGTGCCGAAGGGACCTCTGCGAATATCACGTACCGCTGGCTGCACTACTGAACGAAGACGGGACTTCGACCTCTTCCCGATACAAGATGAAATCTATCGCGAAAAACTTTTACACCAACCTCTTCCGCTCATCAACGCCCGTGCAGATGCCCGTTGTTCCCACTGGAGAAGTACCATGACGAATTCTATCTGCTGAAGTGCGTATCGCGATACAGACCATGAAGACGTCCAAGGCTTCAGGACCAGATCACCTTTCCGTCGAACTTCTGCGAGCCGGAGGGCACCGTCTACACGAGATTCTAGCGTCGCATTTGACATCTTAACTTTAGAAGGAAAAGATTCCCGACCAGTGGAAAACGTCAAGAACCGTCCTTCTCTTCAAGAAGGGTGAACGGGAGGATCTTCGGAACTATCGTCCAATATGCCTGCTGAGTGTTCTGTACAAGCTTTTCACGAAGATTATCCTCGCTCGCATATCAAGGACACTGGATGAAGCCCAACCCCAAGAACAAGCTGGATTTCGCAAAGGATTCAGCTGCATGGACCACATCCAGACCGTTTCGAGGGTCATAAAAGTCTGCCGCAAGTACCGACTGCCTCTCGTCCTAACCTCGACTACGAGAAAGCTTTCGACAGCGTCGAAACCAACGCCATCCTGTCAGCGCTAGTCGATCAAGGAGTGGACCCAGCCTACGTGAGGACACTAGCCAACTGCTACAAGGACTGTACAACAACGATGCAGCTGTTCCATCGCCCCCTGACCATACCAATCGGAAAGGGGGTCCGACAAGGCGACACAATCTCGCCGAAGCTGTTCACCGCGGCCTTGAAGTGGGTGATGAAGTCACTGGATTGGGACGAGAGAGGCATACAAGTTGATGGGAGATTCCTGTCCAACCTTCGTTTTGCGGACGACATCGTTCTCTTCTCGAGCAGTATCCCGAAGCAGAGACGATGCTGAAGGAACTGAACGAAGTAGGGAAGAAGATCGAACTGCGAATAAATCGTAAGAAGACTCAGTTCATGAGGAACGCCCTTTGCGAAGATGCAGAAATGAAATTGGAAGGCGCCCCTATTAGACCCCGGTCAGACTTCACGCGACTTAATCGTCGCGACCAAATCGCCAAGATTTCCATTCATTTTCATTTCACATTCAAAAATTTCGGTCTAGAAAAGTATCACAACCGAATGCAAGTTGATCTGCATGGAATGATGTTGTAACAGTTGTCTCCTCGCGATTCAGTCGCGACGATCAAATCGCGTGAAGTCTGCCCGGGGCCTTATGGAGACGTCTTCTTACGTGTATCTCGGACTTTCGATGAACATGGAGAACGACCTGAGGGAAGAACTTAACAGGAGAAGAAGAGCAGCCTGGGCCGCTTTTGGGCCTCTGAAGGAAGCCACCGACCAACTGACGGATCCGGAGCTTCGTGCCCACCTGTTCGACTCAACCGTTCTCCCGGCGCTCTGTTACGCAGCTGAGACTTGGGCCGACACTGTAGCCACGTCGAAAGCTTTACGGACCACCCACAGAGCGCTCGAGCGCAGTCTTCCGAAGATGACCCGACGCAAGCAACATCTAGTCGGACTTCGCAGCACGGATATGAGAAGAATGTCCCGTTTTCGTGACCCAGCGGAATACGTTGCGAAAGCCAAACACCGATGGGCCGGTCACATAATGAGAAGAACAGACGGCGGATGGACACTAAGAACATCTGGGTGGATTCCTCGCGAAGCCAAACGTCCTCGAGGAAGACCACCGACGAGATGGGCAGACGTTCGTGGAACGAATGGACCAGCTGAGAAATCAGCTGGATACGACTTTCGCCCCGGGAACTCGTGGACGCAGCCACCGACGACGGCCAAGAAGATCGTGGATGTCTGAAGCGAGGGACAGGGAAAAATGGCAACTTCTGTACTGGGGCCCGCACGTCAAGTGAGGACGGGCCATCTAAGTATTTAAGTAAGTTACCTGCACCATAGTACTCTAACCCTGGTTACTGATAGACGGGAAATATGAAACAAGTTACGATTTTTGCAAATGAAAAATAACAATGATGCGGGAGTTTTCGATATCCTTTTGCAAGTGATTTCGCACTATTCAAAGCTAAGAAATATACCGGTATTGCAGCTTCCCCGGTATTCCTTCAAGAAAATGTTATATCCAGTGTACCATAATCTAAATTGACTGGGCACTTTTCCATACCAAAGCTTTGTATCGATTTATGCGATTTGAACATCTCAATGAACATTTTTCTTTATTATTTGAGTAGATATGAAACCATGTCTATATAGCTCATAGATTAATACATTTCTTCATGCTGTATCGCCAAACAGAAGTGGTAACCAGACGAAGATGTCGACGAACTGCACAACTGTTAGTGCCATTAGCAAAAAACTTAACACTAGCAGCAACAATGTGACAATGTGACAGAATTTTAGCATGGTCTGTAATGAATAAAGTTCTTATAAGCTCAAAATTATGTTAGGCTTGAATCAAGATGTGAGAGAAGTCTTACAGGCTCTTTATAAGGCTTGATGTCCAGCATAAATGGCTTCTCTTCTAGCTTTTTGTCTTTTTCTTTATCCCTCGATCTTGACATTTTCTCTAGAAAATATTGGGTTCATAGTCTATAGCCACCCATGAGGAGCGTTTGCCAGCCAAACCTACCATCACTGATTGCGCCGCCTGTCAAAGTGGCGCGTTCATGGTCAGAACTGAGATCTACATCATCGCCTGGCCTAAATTACCAGTATTCGCGAAGACTCGTAGAAGCAGTACTCATACATACCTCAGAGCAAATTGACCCACAGTGTTTGTCTTCGTTTTTGCCTCATCCCTTGGTTTCGTCTCAGCTCCTGGAGGCGGTGGTGGCGGCGGTGGCGGAAAGTCTGGTGGAGGTGGCGGCGGTGGTGGTGCAGGTGCCGCTCCGCTAGGTCCAAGTTGCTCGTAGCTATCTTCACCTTCTTTATACATCACTGCTTATTGAATGACTCTATGCAAATGGACTTCACTAACATTAACACACTAACACTTCACTTCACGACTTCATTCACAACTCGTCCTGCGCGCGTGCGGCGGCTATTTTTGTTGCTCTGTCAGACAACCTAATTTTTTTCCTTTCTTTTCGTTTATTCATTCTATTCTTCCTGTCATTTCTGCTCCTCGCTAGAATCTATTAGCCGCATCTCTATTCTTGTGCGCTTCAAGTTGAAGTTACCCGATTTTTGATTATTTTCGCCTTCTCGCCGTCGGAGTCGCCTTGAATCGATAATCCAATTTATTGGTAGATCAAAAGATCAAAAATGGCTAGGACTACCCGCAGCACTAAAAATAACGCTTCTTCAGGCTCGCAACTGCCAGTTCGTGTTGGTGAACAAGCTGATGACACAGGCGTAAGTGCTCAAGGAGAGTACGAACAAATGTCGGCGCTTGATTTGATCTCTGCCATACAGCAAAAGAATCGAGACCCTTTGATCTCGGAAATGCTAAAAACATCGGCAGAAAAGGTGTCGAAGGATCTCTCTGGAGCTGTGGAGGCGGAGAGGAGATCAAGAAGTTTGGTTATCAGCGGTATAGAGGAACCGCCGGAGGGACTGGGTGCCGCTGCTAGGCGCAAGCACCTCCAAGAAAATGTCGAGGAGGTGCTTGATGCCCTAGACATTGACTGCCCTCCGAGCGATGTCTACAGGTTGGGGAAACCTAACGGTTTTCTCGCCCGCGGTTGGTCAAACTTGTATTGCGGTCGACATTTTTTTGGAAGCGTGCTCTTAGCAATGCCCATACCCTTCGCCACGCGGGGTTCCCGGGCGTCTTCGTGCGTAAAAGCATGAGTGAGGAGGAACGAAAAATTGAGTTCCAACTCAGACAGACGGCCCGGGAACGGAACCAAGGAAGATCGGCGAAGGAATGGGTAGTGTATCGCGGGAAGCTTACGCGTGTGTCCGATTTAGCAAATGGAAGGCCGGGAAACATCTAAATCTGCATGGTAAACCGTTTTAAACTAGATGTTTTTTATTGAATGCGAGAAGTTTAGTAAACAAAATTCACCAATTTCATTTGTTTCTGACCGAGTATAAGCCGGAAATTGTTTTTATAACAGAGACTTAATTTACACAAAACATATTTGATAGTGAGATTGTAGGTGGTTTTCCTTTTACGGTGTTTCGCCTAGACAGAAGCACTCGGAAAGGGGGTGGCGTATGCATTTTGGTTCACGATAAATTATTGGTACAAAAGTTAGAAGTTTCTAGTTCCTTAAAAGCCAATGTCCTCTGTGTAGATTTATTATCTCAAAAGAAGCTAAGTAGAATTAGACTCATATTAGTTTACCGGCCTCCCAGTTGCCAAATAAACGAGGATGATTATCTTATACAGTCGTTAACCGATCTAGCCAATGAAAATGCAGACACAGTGATAATGGGTGAATTCAACCTGCAAGTCGACTGGAATTGCTTCAAATCTTATAACAACTCTTCCGCCAAATTCTTGAACTTCTTTCAAGAGTTGGGTCTGAAACAGCTAGTTAGGGGTGCAACTCATGCATCACATACTCTTGATCTTGTTCTATCTACATCAAAAGTTGTGTCTGATGTTAAAATACTGCATCCTCTCGCAAACTCCGATCATTCTATGGTAGAATTTATATTAAATGAAGAAGTTTGCAAGCCCAGTCTCTTTCCTATACCCGATTTTTTCCAAACTGATTTTTCCGCTCTTACCAGTGATCTCCTCAACGTCGATTGGCTAGATGTATTCGACCAGTATGTTTCTATGGACGATGTTTACCAAAGGTTTTGCAGAGTTGTCTATAAGGCACTAATGGTTCATGTGCCGTTTCGTATTCCTCAACCTTACACCAGATACCCACAACATATAGCAAATTTAATGGAACAAAAGCGCATTCTTTTTTTGCTCATGAAAGGTTCGCACGAAAGTCACTATAGTTCTATGTATAAAAAGATTTGCTCTGATATTGACTATCACCTAAAGAAATTCTTAGCAAATCGTGAACGAAAACTTTCAGCAAAAACTTTCTCAAAGTACCTTTTTCACTATGTTAACATAAAGCTCAAGAGTTACTCTCGTCTACCCGTGCTCAAAGATACAGAAGGTCATACATACAAAGGAAATATTGAGAAAGCTAACGTACTTGCAAAATATTTTGCTAGTGTGTTCACTCGGGAAAACGTCAATTTGGTTACCCGCGATGAATTAGTTGACACACCATCGACTAGACCACTCCTGTGTAACCTATACTTTGATTCGTCTGATATTCGGAAAATTTTGAAAAAACTGAAACCTTCTGTTAGCGAACCTTACGACGGCCTACCTCAGATCATATATAAAGAATGTGCCGACGCCCTCTGCAAACCTTTGGCACACATTTTCAATCTCTCCATGCTTCTTGGCGAAGTGCCCGGACTTTGGAAAGAGGCACTTATCACTCCTATTCCCAAGGTATCTAGTGCACATCTGGTGTCTGACTTCCGTCCAATTAGCATGACCCCCTCGTCGATCAAGGTTATGGAGAAGATACTGCGAAATAAACTTAGTGATTGGTTGGTAAAATCTGGTATAATGCCACCTGAGCAGCACGGTTTCGCGTCCACCTTAACCAATTCAGCCAGTTTGTTTGACTGGACCACTGCTGAAAATAAAGGGGATTCCGTTGACATTATTTTTATTGATCTGTCAAAAGCGTTTGATAAAGTCTATTCCAAACTTTTGATGAAATTGGAAGCTTATGGAATCTGTAGGAACCTTCTTGCTTGGTTTGATTCCTATTTACGGAATAGACATATGACAGTCAAAGTTGAGCACAGCTTCTCCGATAGACAGCAGTGCTCGAGTGGGGTTCCACAAGGAGGATCGCTTTCACCATTATTGTTTCTTATCTACACATTGGAGTTGCCTTCTATACTTAAGACTTCACCCTCAATCAAAGTGCAACTATATGCAGATGACATCAAAATTTATGGGACTTATGGGACATCTGACTGTGATGAAGTACGATACGCACTTAAAACATCATTTGAAAAAATGCTTGACTGGTCTACGAAATGGGATCTTCCTCTTAATCTTGATAAATTTTCGGTCATGCATATTGGACGGGAGGAAGGACCAATTTATGAAATCAGAGGAATTACATTGAAAAAGCGCACAGTGGGCAAAGATCTGGGAGTTTACCTAAATCCAACTTTGAAGTTCTCCCAACATGTAGACTATGCGGTCAAGAAGGCCTATAGAATTTTGTATGCTATCTTCAGAAACATTCATTATCGTAATCATTCCGTTCTCAAATGCCTGTATAGAACTTACGTACTGCCTCATCTAGAATATTGTTCACCTATTTGGAATCCTTACCTCAAAAAAGACGCTAAAAAGACAGAAAAAGTACAACAAACTTTTACCCGTCTGTTATACATAAGAAGCATACAGCCTCCATACGGGGAGATTCCTTGTTACAATGACCGGCTCAAGTTATTCAATACCAGTGCGTCACCTCTGCTTCGCAGAGGCTCGCACTGGCTCTGCTATCTAGGCCCTACTCATTCTCGTATAATGATGGCATTGGAACTCACCGAGCAATGCCGACTATCACGAACAAAATGTAAACATCTACTCATTCCGAAAGCTTTTTTATGGGAAATCGGTGATTTCGCGTGGATGAGACTTTTTGCAGGAAAACAAATGCAAATTTTTATAGGTTTTTGATTTTCTTATAGCCTTTACAGTTGCAATAAGAACAGCAGTCACCGTGAGCTACAATTTTGTGCAAAATTTTTGTCAAATAGTCTGGTAAAACCTTGGCAAATTGATCATTTACCCAACCAAAACTTTTTGGCGCCGTTTTTGTAAAGTAATGGACTTTTAATCACTTATTCAAGCCTAAGTTCATGGCTTGGACATTTACTTGGCACAAACATCCACGACTCTGAAAAAAAGTGGAATTACGGACCCAATTTTGCTGCCCAAATGCAAAGTGGATCCGTTTGACACGCAGATTCTGAGGGACCCGCTTATCGTACCGGCTCGTCCTTGTGCGTGGTAGGCCTACACGCTGGCACGGTATGCTATGCGAAATTGCAGCCCGATAGCTTGGTTGCAGCTTCCTCTATGAATTTCGTGACAGACAGATTTTCACACAGACACACAGACAGACACACAAAAAAAACAGACGGCCTTAGCGCGTTATTATAGTAGGATGAAAAGTTTGGAGCAGCGCCGAATGATAGCTGATCTTATCTTTTGTTTCCGTGTACTGCGCAAAGAGGTAAACCTCTCAGCCAGCAAATACTGGGTATTTATGCCGGCTAGTCAACGCTCATTCTCTTTCAATCTTCATTAAGCTAGAATAGGCCGTAGAAAGTTTTTGTTAGCCTTCAACAGCCTGTTCTATCGTGGAGCAAGATGGTTGCAACGTCTGCCACCGGCTGTTTTCGCTCTATCAGTAGTTCAAGTTTCAAGATGAAACTGAGGAAAGTAGATTTGCAGTATCTTATCAGTTCAAGAGACTGATTTCTAGCAATTCACCAATTTCCTTCCAGATCCGGCTTTCACATTCATTCTCGGTCCGTTGGCATTACAACAGCTTGAATATGAACAGTGTGTCGGGACGTGGTTGTCATCATTGAAGTTTCACTTCATGATGCCCTGACGTGTTGTTTCTTATCATTCATCAACGATGTTTCATTTCTTGTGTTTTCGTGTTTCATTCTTACATTTAAAATTTCTTCAGCTCTCACATATAAGCATTGATGACAGTTCTTTCAGTTTTAGTCATGCGTATGTTTTGCTGTCCTTCCAGAGTTTCACACGTTTTAGTGGGGATATAGTCAGCTAGCCTCCGCCCGTAGGCTCGCTGGCCTTCAAAAGTGGGATCCAATTCTGGAAGATAGTAAGATATGCCAGCAGACTGTGATGTGGTGTCTTCTACTTCTGATTTATTCAGCTCTTGGTCTGAAGAAGACACT